CCCTTCAGCTCCTGGAAGGTGCTCTGAGATCTCCACACAACCTTCTCTTCTCCAGTGGTCACTTCACAGCTTATCCTTCAAGCTCTAGAAATAGCCTAAAAACTAGTGGCTATGATGGTTCACTTTCACCAAGTCACTGTGCTTATTGGTCTTGAATTCATTGAAACAGACAAAACTGTTCTGAAACCAGGTATAGATACTGTTAGAAAGAACTACAAGAAAGATTAAGTCTTGTCTGAAATTGGCTGCTCGTGATGGGTGTTAGAAGTTCCCTGTCTCAATTTCCACCCTCCCACACCCTCTCTACCCCCACTTCAAGAGCTCTTTGCAAGGCATCTCTCTTTACTCTTCCCTTCACCATGATTCCTATAGGGGGAGCATCATACCATCCTTACAGTTCTTATTTCATGAACATGAGCATGTTTAAAACCTTGCTTAACTCTTCCTCTGATTTAATATACCACATGCAACATCTGTCTCGTGCTCTTTTGTTCCTTAGGTTTCAGCAGGCAGCTGTAGAGGTAATCTTCATTTGCAAGGAAAAATTCACACTGTAAACACAAGTCTTTCGCAGTGAGGTTTCTTGGGGGTCCAGAAATCTTGGTTTATCATTCAGTTCCTAGGACTACAAAGGGAGAATTTTTTCTCCCAGGTTTTCATATCAGCATTAAGAAAATAATCTGCGACCCTCAGGACTTGAGGCAGAGGCACTTAGTGATCACTGAAGTACCATGTCCTGAACCTGTGTGTTTAGCATTTAGGTGGACTGGATCAAAAATCACATCTGCCAAGGAAATGGTAAATCATTATCAGATGTTTTAAGTAGGCATTACAGCTGAGCTTCTCCAGTTTTGCAGGCTCTAAGAAGACAACCTTTGAGCAGTTGATGTGCCATGTTTTTAGCACACTGACTTAAAGTGGCTATGTTTAACTGATTCCAGATTTTAACACAACCTTTGAGCAGTTGATGTGCCATGATTTTAGCACACTGACCTAAAGTGGCTTTGTTTATCTGATTCCAGATTTTAAGCAAACTAGGTGTGTACCCATGATTCTGCTTTTGATTGGCCTCCCTGGTTGTGGTGTTCTGATCTAGTGGCATTTAGACTGGTGATCTTTATTCCTCACCTTCCAGTGTCCTGCATAAAAATCACGTGTGTTTCAGGGTTTCACACTTATGAAGATAGTTCTGCCTAAAGTGGCTTTGTTTATCTGATTCCAGATTTTAAGCAAACTAGGTGTGTACCCATGATTCTGCTTTTGATTGGCCTCCCTGGTTGTGGTGTTCTGATCTAGTGGCATTTAGACTGGTGATCTTTATTCCTCACCTTCCAGTGTCCTGCATAAAAATCACGTGTGTTTCAGGGTTTCACACTTATGAAGATAGTTCTGCAGTTTATCAAGGATAGTTTCAGTCAGCAGGAGGTCACCTGTGTAGGGATCAGAGCTGACAACATATCAAATCCTGTCTTCTCTTGGTTGGAAAAAAAGAACATCTTTGCTAGACTGGTGTTGTGGTCATTCAGAGTGTGCATTTCATACCTTCTTTGAATTTTGGTTGGAATAAGAGTTTATTTTCATGGGAGGTTTTCTTTTTAATAGACTTAGAATCAAAGAACAGCCCAGTTTAGAACTGACCTTGAAAGACTCTCTCACCCAGCCTTTCCTGGGTAGGTAAGCCTAGATGAGATTATCAAACACTTTGTCCAATTGCAACTTCAAAATCTTCAGTGATGAGGACTCTACCATGTCCCTGTGTTCCAGTGCTTGATTGTTCTCACTCTGAAAAAATGTTTTTCTTATGTCAAGATGAAATCCTCCTGGTGCAGCTTATATCCATTGCCTCTTGTCCTCTCCATGTGGCTCCTAATGAAGGGAGCACTTCTGTCCGTTTTGTAGCCACTCTTCAAGACTGTCATCCTTTATTAAGAGGGAGGAAGGGTAATCAGTAGTTAAACTTCTGATGTCTCTTACGAGCTCATACACTGATACCAGTATCTGAAAACAGCAGATGACATTTTCATGAATGTTTGAGGGGGTTTTTGTGAAATGACACTTTACTCTTTGCTCCAAGAATTTCTTAGCTAGAAGTGATGGATTTGAATTACAGTTGACTTCAACTGATGGAGAAACGCAGATTTGCCTTATGAAAGAAATCATCAAGCCGTTTCCAGTAGGTACTGTCCTCCACAGGAAGAAAGTCAATTGTGTATTTTATGTGGTCATCTAGCTCATCTCCTCTCATTTTTCTCACTGCTCTTTAAGAGTTCTATGGTATCTATTAGATGTAATCCAGACCACTAACAATTAATTTCACAAGGCCCGATTCTTGGAAATAGGTCTCTGGATAAGAAGTGCAGGTACCCAGAGAGAAAATACAGCATACTGAGGGGGAGTTGCTTTGTTGTGGTTGTTGGTGTAGAGCTCATCTTGACATGTGATTAATCTTCATAATTACATACACGTGTGTAGGTTATGTATCAAGTTACAGTGACTGTGAGAATAGACCAGGTGCATCGTGATCTTCGTGTGTTTGCAGAGGTCCTGAAACGTAAAACTCAGCTTGTCTGTTCAAGGTAGTTATACCTGCTTTGATTACAATTCTGTGTTTGCCTAATTTGACATATTTGCAGTAGACCATGAAGATGATCATACTTGTGAAAACTTTCCTGCTGCAGTCAAACCTGCCTGCAATCCAGGGTGGTTTAACTGGGTGTCAGAGTATGCCTGCTTGGGAGCTCTAGGACAGAAGGGATTAAAGAGAGGAGAGCTAGAATTCAGCTTTCAGCCAGGATCATAGGAAACAGAACTTTTCTGTGATAAGTGAGCTAATCTCCAGAACAGTGCAGTAGAAGGCCTGGATAGGAAAATGACTGGAATGTGTTGTCATCTCCATCCACAACTGTATGTGCTTGCTGGTAAGCTGGAGATGGAGTGGAGATTCTGTTCTCTGTTACTGGACAATGCTGTGGGTAGTCCAGATAATAGGTACCTTGTCACAAGCAGACAAGGATGGGAAAAAAGCAAGTTGACTTCCTTCTGTTTGTTTACTGTAGTTTTGTGCAGACTTTTTGAAGGATAAAGGAGTATAAGGTCACTGGCTTAAATCTTTTTAGTTTCAGAGTCCTGTCTTCATACTCTAAATGCTGATAGACCTAAAAGGAAATACAGTCTTTTTATTTAGGGAACTAGTTTGTGTATAAAGTGAGAAATGTAACAGCAGGAAGAGACCTCATGATCGTGCTACATCATTAATCAATATTTTAAAATCAGTGATACAACAACTATGTGAATCACTTGGGTGCTGTGAACAATTGGCTACAGTCCAAAATGGTTCTCTTTCTTTCCAAGGGATCTGTTGTAGCCAACTGATAGCTCATCTGGGGACACTGTGTACAGCTCATGGCCCAGGGATTAAGTGTTTTGCATACAGGAAAACTGAAATTTGGCTGGTTGGGTGTATTTATTATTAAGTAACACAAACAATCAAACCCCCCAAAGAATCAAATGACAAACCTAACTATAGATCATACTAGATCACTTAAGCCACTGACTTTTCATTGACTGTAAGATGGCCTATGCTTCTTTTGCTTTTATCATAGAATTTAAGGGTTGGAATGGACCTTAGAGATCATCTAGTCCCAACCCCTGTCCTGGGCAGGGACACCTCCCACCAGAGCAGGTTGCTCAAGGCTCATCCAACCTGGCTGTGAACACTGCCAGGGTTGGGGCAGCCACAGCCTCCCTGGGCAACCTGGGACAGTGTCTCACCACCAGAACAGGGAAAAGCGTTTT